CATAGCGATCTCACACACAGCAGAATGAAACACTGCCCAGTCCTGCGCCAGTCCCATGATCCTTGGTATACCTGAGCCCATCATTGCAGCCACTGTGTCAATCCATCTTGTGAAGGGCCTTCCCCTTTTTTGTTGCCCCTCCTCTTTGCCAAGCATGATATCCTTCTCCAGGGAATTGTCCCTTCTTACAACATGACCAAAGTAGGTGGATGAAGTTTGGTCATTCTTGTTTCCAAGGAGCATTCTGGCTGCACTTCTTCCAGGACAGATTTGTTAGTTCTTTTAGCAGTCCACAGTACTTTCAGCATTCTTTGCCAGCACCACACCTCAAAAGCATTGACTCTTCTAAGGTCTTCCTTTTTTATTGTCCAGCTCTCACATGCATATGAGGTGATTGAAAATACCATGGCTTGTGTCAAGTGCACCTTAGTCTTCAAGGAAACATCTTTGCTCTTCAGGACCTGAAAGAGGTCCTATGCAGCAGATTTGCCCAATGCTATATGACATCTGGTATCTTGACTGCTGCTTCCATTGGTGTTGATTGTTGTTGTTGTTGTTATGTGCCATCAGGTCGGACTTGACTCATAGCGACCCCTTCTTGGGTTTCTGAGGCGATATCACTATGGAAGTAGATTTTCCAACCTTCCTTCCGAGGAGTGGCTGGTGGGTTTGAACCACCAGCCTTCTGGCTAGCAGTCAAGTGCCTTAGGCACTACAATACCAGAGCTCCTGGTGTTGATTATAGAACCAAGTAATATGAAGTCTTTGACAACTGTAATCATTTCTTCATTTATCATGATGCTGCTTATTGATCTTGTTATGAGGAATTTGTTCTCTTTATATTGAGATGTAATCCATACTGCAGACTGTAGTCTTCAGTCTTCATCAGTGTTTCAAGTCATCCTCACTTTTAGCTAGCAAAGTTGTGTCATCTGCATAATGTAGGTTGTTAATGAGTCTTCCTCCAATCTTGATGCCACGTTGTTCTTCATATAGTCCAGCTTCTTGGATTATTTGCTCAGTATACAGATTGAATAAGTATGGTGAAAGGATACAATCCTGATGCACTCCCTTCTTGATTTTAAACCATACAGTGTCCCCTTGTTCTGTTCAAATGGCAGCCTTCTAGTCTATGTAAAAGTTCCTCATAAGCACAATTAAGTGTTCTAGAATTCCCATTCTCAATGTTATCCATAATTCATTATGATCCACACAATCGAATGCTTTTGCATAGTCAAGAAAACAGAAGTAAACATCTTTCTGGTATTCTTTGCTCTCAGTCAAGATCCATCTGACATCAGCAATGATATCCCTCATTCCATATCCTCTTCTGAATCCAACTTGCATTTTTGGAAGTTCTCTGTCAATACTGCTACAACCATTTTTGAATTGTCTTCAGTAAGATTTTACTTGTGTGGGATATTAATGTTATTGTTTAATAATTTCCGCATTCTGTGGGATCACTTTTCTTTGGAATGGGTACAAATATGGATCTTTTCCAGTCAGTTGGCCAGGTAGTTGTCTTCCAAATCTCCTGTCATTCTTGAGTGAGTGCCTCTATTATGGCATCTGTTTGTTGAAACATCTTAATGGGTTTCTGCTCAATTCCTGGAGCCTTGTTTTTTACCACTTTCCTCAGTGCAGCTTTGACTTCTTCCTTCCATACCATTAGTTCTGATCATATGCCACTCCTGAGATGGATGAACATCGACCAGTTCTTTTTGGTACAGTTACTCTGTGTATTCCTTCCATCTTCTTTTGGTGTTTCCTGCATCATTCAGTATTTCACCCATGAAATCTTTCAGTATTACAAATCGAGGCTTAAATTTCCTCTTCAGTTCTTTCAGCTTGAGAAATGGCGAGTGTGTTCTTCCCTTTTAGCTTTCCAACTCCATGTCTTTGCACATTTCCTTATAATAATTGAATTTGTCTTCTTAAGCTGCTCTTTGAAATCTTCTATTTAGCTCTTTTATCTTGCCATTTCTTCCCTTTGCTTTAGCTAATCTCCATTCAAGGGCAAGTTTCAGAGTCCCTTCTGACATCTCTTTTGGTCCTTTCTTCCTTTCCTATCTTTTTAGTGACCTTTTGCTTTCTTCATGGATTATGTTTTTCATGTCATCCCACAATTCCTCTGGTTTTCAGTCACTGGTGTTCAATGTATCAAATCTATTCTTTAAATGGTCTCTAAATCCAGGTAGGATATAATCAAGGTCATATTTTGGCTCTCATGGACTTGTTTTTAATTGTCTTCAGCTTCAACTTGAACTTGCAAATGAGCAGTTGATGGTCTGTTCCACAATCAACTCCTGGCCTTGTTTTGGCTGAAGGTATGGAGCTTCTCCATCACCTCTTGCCACAGATGTGGTCAATCTGATTCCTGGGTACTCCATCTGGTGAAGTCCATGGGTATAGCTGCTGTTTGTGTTGTTGAAAAAAGATATTTGCAATGAATAAGTTGTTGGTCTTGTAAAATTCTATCATGTGGTCTCCAGCATTATTTCTATCTCCAAGGACAAATTTTCCAGCTACCAATGATTCTTCTTTGTATTCAACTTTTGCATTCCAATCACCAGTGATAATCAGCACATCTTGATTGCATGTTTGTCAATTTCAGACTGCAGAAGTTGATACAAATCTTCAATTTCCTCATCCTTGGCTTTGGTGGTTGGTGTGTAAATTTGAATAATAGTAGTATTAACTGGCTTTCCTTGTAGGTGTATGAATATTATTCTATCACTGACTGCATTGTACTTCAGTATATTTCTTCAAACGTTCTTTGTGATGATGAATGCCACACCATTCCTCTTCAATTTGTCATTCTGGCATAGTAGATCATATGGTTATCTGATTTAAAATGGCCAAAACTGGTCCACTTCAGCTTACTAATGCCTAGGATATCAATCTTTATGCATTCCATTTCATTTTTGACAACTTCCAGTTTTCCTAGATCCATACTTTATAAATCATATTTTCTGATTATTAATGGCTGTTTGCAGCTATTTCTTCTCATTTTGAGTCATGCCACATCAGCAAATGGAGGTCCTAAAAGCTTTACTCTAACCACATCAGAAGGTCGACTCTACTTTGAGGCGTCAGCTCTTTCCCAGTCATATTTTGAGTGCCTTCTGATTTGAGGGGCTCATCTTCTGGCACTATATTGGACAATGTTTCAGGGCTATTCATAAAATTTCCCAGTAATGTATCAGACAGTGTTTCACTACTATTCATGAGGTTTTCACTGGCCAATTTTTTGAGAAGGGGGTGGATGGTCTCTTCCTTCTTCTGAGTCTGTCTCAGTCTGGAAACTGCACTGAAATCAGTCCACCATGGGCATGCCTATTGGCACAACCTGCTGGCACAACCTCCAGCCTCACAGCAACATGCAAGCCACCACAGTATGACAAACTGACTGACAAGTTTGTCTCCTTAGCTGTTCCAACCACTTTGTTCACATCCTGGGATTCCCCTTACCTGTTCATGCTGGCCCTGCCTGCCGCTGCTCCCTGCTGCCTGGGGGCTGTCCCCCGCCTTCCTTACCTGTTCTGGTTGCTGGCCCTGCTTTTCCCTAAGATCCTCCAATAAACTCAATATCTTTTAGAGTGACTCTGGGTCAGTTTTTTGGTCCCTCTGCTTAAAATTATTCTGAGGCATTTTGTCTCTTGGGTTTGAACCCGGATACTCTCCTCTAGTTGGAAAGCACTTTGTTAGCTTATATTGGTTTTCCCTAGAAAGTTTTGGATGGGAAATTTTTACCTATCTCAAGACTATCAGAAATGTCATCACCTTGTGCATTTGATGGCATCCTTTCTTTAGTAAGTGTCTAAAGGTTTCATAAATGTCCCCAGGTATTTGCTGACTTGGTTTCTCAGTATCTTTCAGAATCCTCAAAAATTATATGCAGTGTGTTCTGAGAAATAAGTGTGTGGAAATTCAAGGGACTCTCTACTTTCCTCTCAAATTCTGGTCATAGTTGGGGTGGGCATTTGTGTTCAGTATTTTGGGAAAGTATATGCTGCTATTATCATATCATTAAGGATTGAGGGGCTGAGTTGGGGAATATGTGGTATTTTGTAACATCATCTTGAACAATGGGATTTTAGACAGTGTAAAGGTAACAAGTTGTACTTGATGCCCTTGGCTGACATGACTTTCTCTCTTGTATATATACGTTTCCAGGCTTCCTTTCTATCTGTTGGGAGGGTAGGGGTCACAGCTGACAAGACTGCCTTAGCTATGTCTGTAACAATCAAGAAATGTTTTGACAGGTAGTTTCCTCTGATTATGGTAGGTTACATTCAATTATTTTGCATTTAATGTACATTATGCTGGTGAGAACTGGATTGGTTGTTTAAGCACTGAAATTCATTTGTATATGAACCTCGTTATTTCCTGATATAACATCCTTTTGCTATTATGAAGATATAAACAATGTCTACTTCTATTAACATAGAGATAAATATATTTAGAAATTACATTTTTTTAAAATGGAAGTTACTCTTTCTTATTAATAGATTAAATGAAAGTCATTAAATGCTTGGTTATTAATACTAATAGAGAAATGCAGAGAATATAATTTCTCAAAAACAGAAGATCCATTTTTAAAACTTTGAATGCATTTTATTTTTATTATATTAGCACACAAAATGATGAAGCTACATGTTCATAATCTGATTCTGGAGAAACTGAAGATTCTCATTTCCTCCCTGAGCCCTACTGCGTATCAACTTTCAAAAATACTCAAAATTTTACTATCTGTTGGGTTCAAACTTTATTTGGAGCAAGAAAAGGCAGCTAAAAGCTTTTATTTAAAGCTACTTTGTTAAGGCTCTACTAAATGCAAAGAAAAGCAAACAGACTAACACAGTACTTAGGTGAGCCAGAGGAGGACTTATTCATGTGCTGGGAAAGCTACATCCAGGGCTAGTTGACAAGTGACTTTGAAAGGTACTGAAAGGCACAGAAATGGCTTAATTGACTTATTCCAAATTGAGGATAATTCTTTATGAAGTATGCTTGAGGATATACTTGGCAATAAATTTGACAGCTAGCATGGTCTCTTTACAGGTTGACTTTATCCGAGACTCTGGAAGGAGAAAACCAAATCTGCCTTTATCTCGGAGCTCAAAGGCAAATGTATGTTTGATGCCCAGATCGTATGCCCAGTCTAAAGAAGATCCTGTTGTCGGGTCTGTAAAACATAAGCAATAAATATTGATTCAGAGTAAAATACTAGTATTATCGCAACATGGAAATTCACTGGTATAAAATTAGTGATAGAAAATATTCCACATACAGTCAATTGCAGTCATGAATAGGAGTAGTGGTCTAAATAATAGAGTGTCAAGTACAAAACAATCCTGGCATTGAAATCCACCATCCATTTGAAATATGTGCTGCATCCTTTAAATTACATATAACTTGGGTTGGTACTAAATTGAGTTTATATTCTCTGGGTACACATTGTTGCAGGAGTAGGTGGGATGAGTGAATACAAGTAGCAGAGGAAACTAAGTGTGGAGGAGCCACTGGTCACAGAGAATTCACCAGGGAAAACTATATATAGAAGCTATATAAAAACTGCCTCTTTTCTATAGTTCAAATCTTTTGTTATTCATGTAATTGGGATAAACTCTTTTATAGTTAAAAGACCAAGAAATGTTAAATCAGTTTTTTAAGGAGACATTTAACCCTTATCCAAAATTTTCAGGCCATTTCCAGTCACCTCATATGCATGTGAGAGCTGGACAATGAATAAGGAAGACTGAAGAAGAGTTGATGCTTTTGAGTTGTAACGTTGGCAAAGAATGCTGAAAGTACAGTGGACTGCTAAAAGAACTAACAGATTTGTCCTGGAGGAAGTGCAGACAGAATGTGCCTTGGATGGAATGGCCAGACTTCATCTGACCTACTTTGCTCATGTTGTCAGAAGGGACCATTTTCTGGAGAAAGATGTCATGCTTGGTAAAGTGGAGGGTCAATGAAAGGGGAAGGTCCTCAACAAGATGGATTGACACGGTGGCTGCAGCGATGGGCTCAGGTATACTAGAGCTCATGAGGCTGGTATAGAACTGGGCAGTGTTTTGTTCTGTTGTACATGGGGTTGCTATGATTTAGAGATGACTCAACAGCACATAACAACAACAACTGCCATTGAGTTGATTCCAAGTCATAGTGACCCCCATTGGATTTCGAAATCTTTACAGAAGTAGATTGTCTTGTCTTCGTTCCATGGAGTGGCTGGTAGGTTTGAACCACTAACCTTCTGGTTAGCAGTCAAATGCCTTAGGCAGTGTGCTCCTTAAATACACATACATATGGACACTCTATATGTACATTTGTTATATATATATATATATATATATATATATATAAAATATGGTTTACACAAATGCCCATAGATACTATAAAACTCATTTATGTATATTTTTATTTATGCAATAGAAAAAGTTAGTTTTTTGACATAAAATCATTTATGTTCTAGGACAAGTAATGAGTTTAACTGATATTAACATTTTTGGTTTGGAGTATAAGAATGCAAAGCTGTGATGACGAGAAAGAAGGAATATTTTAGTGGGAAGAGATAGGGAGATAGGATTGATTTTTAAATTATTCAATGAATATTTTTTAAGTCTTTAATATGTACAATGTACTTAACTTGGCACTGCAGATGGTGTAGGGTACAAAGATGAAGAAGGTGCTATTGGTATCCTTGGAAGTTTACCATTTGGGGAAGAGAAGTCAAAGCTGCACATCAATAGAGACAGGACAGACTATGTAGGGTACCATGTTGTTGTTGTTATGTGCAGTTGAGTTGGACCCGACTCATAAAAACCCCTCCTTGGGTTTCTGAGGCAGTATCACTATGGAAGTAGATTGCCCAACCTTCCTTCTGAGGAATGACTGGTGGTTTTGAACCACCAGCCTTATGGTTAGCAGTCAAGTGCCTTAGGCACTATGCTACCAGGGCTCCTATGTGGGGTACCATAGGAGAAGAAAAGATCTTACGGAGATTTAAAGGAAAAAGATATTACGCCTAGTGAAGAGGACATTATTTCATGCTCAGCACTTGTTCAAACACCACCTTCATGATGGAGTTGGTATATGAAGAAGTCCTTAAAGAAATGGTAATATTTTTTTCCATGTGGAGATAGAAAAGTGGGATTCTAGGCAATGAATTACAAGGATGGGAAAGCATAGAAACATTTTTTAGGGACAAATGAGATCCAGTTGCATTGGAGCAAAGGAAAGAATGAGAGTTTGTGGGCAAAGCTCAGAAAACCTGGTAAATCAGGATTAGGAAATTAGATTTTGTTTGAAAGGCAGTAATAGCCACTGTAGTGTTGTTTATGACTGTTAATCTGAATTGGAAAGAGTAGAGACAAATTAGGAGGTATTGTGACATGAAAACCTGGACTAGGAGAAAGTTCACCTCACTGAGACTAGAAACATTGTACGAAACACTAGAATGGAAGAGTCATAGAATTTGATAAAAAATGATTGCGTCAATCTGGGTGGCTGGGAAAAACATCAGCATATTACTAACAAAAATAGGAAATCTGAAAAGAGTTGAGCTGATGTTGGGAAAAAGAAGGCAAATTGATATGTTTAACAATAAAGCTTTCAGGAAGGTGCTAGGGAAAATACATTTGAAATTATTGGTAGAAGCATTGTTGGTGAATTTGTTGCACACACATTTAGGATTATTATGTCTTCTTGATGGATTGATCCTTTTATTATTATCTAATGCCCTTCTTTGTCTTCAGTAAGTTTCTTTGCCCTGAAATCTATATTATAGGATATTTAATATAGCCATATAGCCATTCCACTTTTATTTTGATTAGTGTTTGCATAGTATATCTTTTTCTATCCTTTCACTTTCAGTCTATCTAGGTTACTGTGTTTCAGGTGAGTTTCTTATAGACAATATCTTGTTGGATCATGTTCTTTCTTTCTTTTTTTTTTTTCTTCCACTCTTCCAATCTATATTTTTATTTAGTATATTTAGGTAAACTATTGTTATATTATGACATAAGCCTCTCACTTTATTTGATTGTTGTTTGCTCCCCCTGTTTCTCTTTCTTTGTTTCTGTTTCTTGCCTCCTTGTGGGTTACATGAACATTTTTTAAGATTCTATTTTGATTTCCTTATAATGTTTTTGAGTAAATCAATTTGCATAGTTTTCTTAGTGGTTGCTATAGGTATTACAATGTATCTTACAATGATCTTTTGGTATCAACATTTACACTCCAGTGAGATGTGGAAATGTTACTTTCACAAGGTCTCTTTTCCCTTCCTACTTTTTAATTACAAATGTCTTGAGTACTCTTTACATACATTTAGCATCACATCAGATAGTGTTGTAATTTTTGATTCAATCATTTTGAGAAAGGTAGTTATTATTTTTACTCAATTAATTATTCTTTCTTTTCCTGGATCCAAGCCTTTTTTGGAGTACCTGAGTAGTGCAAACTGTTAACATGCTCGGCTGCTAAACAAAAGGTTGTAGGTTTGATTCCACCAGAAGTGCCTCAGAAGAAAGGCCTGGTGATCTATTTCCAAAAAAATCAGCTATAGAAAACCCTATGGATCACAGTTCTACTCTGACACACAGGGGGTCTTCATAAGCTGGAATTGACTCAATGGCACATTTTTTTTTTTTTTTTTGGAGAGATTCTTTTAATCATTATTTTTGGGTAAGTCTGATGGTGACAAATTCTCTTAGTTTTCCTTCCAGTGAGAATGATTTTACTTCTTTTCATTGATAAAGGATACTTTTGTCTGATACAGAATTTGAGGTTGATAGTTTTTTTCTTTGAGCATGTGAAAAATATTGTGTCACATCTTTTTGGCCTCCATGGTTTCAGGTAAAATATCTGCTGTCATGTGAATTGATTTTTCCCTGTAGGTTATTTCTATCTGCTTGTTTTTCCAGGTTTCTGTCTTTTTCAGTTTGTGAGTAATTATGATGTGTTTTAGTGTAAGTTTCTTTGGACTTACCCTGTTTGAATCTGTTGGTTTATGTCTTTTGCAAAATTTGGGAAAAATCCAGCCACTATTTATTCAGGTATTTTTCAACACCACTATTTTCTTCCTCTCCTTCTGAGCCTCTGATGACATAAATATCAGGTTGTTTGTTATTGTGCTACAGATCCCAGAAGTCTTGTTCTCTCTCTCTCTCTTTTTGGTATGATTCATCTCTTTGTTGTTATTAAGTGCTGTCCAGTTGGCTCTGACTCATAGTGACCCTATGCACAACAAGGGAGCTCTGGTAGCATAGTGGCTAAGACACTTGCCTGCTAACCAGACGGCTGGCGGTTCAAACCCACCAGCCACTCCTCGGAAGGAAGGTTGGGCAATCCTACTTCCGTAGTGATACTGCCTCGGAAACCCAAGGAGGGGTCGCTATGAGTCGGGGCCGACTCGACGGCACATAACAACAACAACAACATGCACAACAAAACAAAACATTGCCTGTTCCTGTGCCCTCACAATCTCTGCTATGCTTGAGCCTATCATTGAAGATGCTGTGTCAATCCATCTTGCTGAGGCTTTTCCCCTTTTCTGCTGACCCTCTAATTTACCTAGCAGCTCTGGTGGTGTAGTGCCTAAGGGATCTGACTGCTAACCAGAAGGCTGGCAGTTCAAACCCACCAACCACTCCTTGGAAGGAAGATTGGGCAATCTACTTCTGTAGTGATAACTGCTTTAGAAACCCAAGGAGGGGTGGCTATGAGTTGGATCCAACTCAGCGGCAGTGAGCTTTGAGAGAATTTATCAAGCATCATATCCTTCTCCAGGGGCTGGTTCCTTCTGACAACATGACCAAAGTAGGTGATACAAAATCTGGCCATTTTTCACTTCTAAGGAGCATTACAGCTGCATGTCCAGGACAGATTTGTGCATTCTTCTGGCAGTCCATGGCATTTTCAGTATTCTTTGCCAACACCATGATTCAAAGGCATCAGATTTTTTTTTCCTTGGTCTTCCTTATTCATTGTGCTCCTTTCACACACATTGGAGGTGATGGAAAAGACCATAGCTTGGGTTAAACAAACAAAAAACCAAACTAAGTGCCGTCAAGTCATTTCTGACTCATAGTGACCCTTCCTTGGGTTTCCGAGGCAGTATCTCTACAGAAATAGATTGCTCAATCTTCCTTCTGAGGAGTGGCTGGTGGGTTTGAACTG